TTTTTTTTCTGTGGTGCTGGAGAACAAATGTAGGACCTCACACATGCGAGGTTAGTGCTCTGAATGCTGCTTCACCCCCAGCCCTCATTCAGTCTTTAAAGCAACATAATAGGTAAGTTCCATGAGGTATACTGTTTTCTACATAGGTACCACGATTATAGATGATAAGCAATTTCCATAATATCATACAACTAGCAATTGTTGTATGATACTAACATTGATTACAAAATATTATTCACCTCATCATTCTTAGAAAGTAGAAGTTACTATTGATTCTCCTTAAATTGGCATTATTTACTCTCTTCTCCATATACACTTACAACATTGCATAAAATTTTGATATTGTCTTTCATCCAATTTTTTTTTCCTATAGATACCTTTTTGTGTATATAACTAGTTCTAGGGATATATAAATATATATATATATAATAATATATATATTAATCTATTGTTTCATTGTCCTTACGCCTCAAGCAATAACTAACTGATTGTGAGCACACTCATTATATGATAATGAAAACCTAACAGACAACTCTGAAGGGATAAAGATAAGTTCAGGTAGTTTTATTTTTAATTCCTCAGAGAAGAAAACATAATCTTGAACAGTGTCTGTTTAATCAGGTTCCTTAAATGGTTTAATCCCATTTGTTCAAGTAATCATAACAAATCCTCTAGAAGTCACTCAGAAACACACACAAACACACACACACACACACACACACGCACAAAGTGTCTCAAAATTCATGTGAGAAAATTTCATTTCACAAACTCCTCAGTGGTTCCACTGATGTTTACTTCCTGGTTGGAAGGTCAAGTTCTCTTCAACCACTTACTCATTTTGGGACAATTGCACAGCCAACACATAAATGTTTTGGGTGTCGCTACCATTTAGTCATAGAAAGAATTCAATCCCCAAAGATAATCTCCAAATAAATTGTTTCAACAATAGACAATTCAGGGATAGAATTGAAACCTCATATGTTGTAATATCTTTTCTTTCCAAATCTCTTATGAAAATTATTTCTCTAACTTATTTACATAGGATATTGCAATACTTTTTGCAAAGAATTTCATCAGGGTAGCCTGGGTGGTTTCACATAAAGGGTCATGTGTAGCTCACGCTGTGTAAAATTAGGGGAAACAACCAAATTACCTCACACTATTCCAGGGGAATTAGGGTGAGACTGCCTCCCACATCAAATATAAAATATTTGTGAGTGAATTCACATGCAGCGTAGCATACCTGTGAGCCCAGCTAATTCGGAGGCTAAGCTGCAGTATCATGAGTTCAAGGCGGAGCCTGGGAGCCATAGCAAGAGGCTGTCTCAAAAAATAATTGTGTGTAAGTGTGTGTACTGATTTTGTGTTTACTGTTATCTTTATCTTTGTCCTTTTCTAAACTTTATCCTGAGGTTAGAGTAAGTCACAGAACAAACAGGGGTCTGGGGCATTCTCAATATATAATATCATCTAAACATAAGACTCCAAGCAAACATGTGGTGTGAGTGCTGATCAGAGGGCCCAGGAGAGATCTCTAAGGTGACTCCTATTGGGAAGACTATAACYGACCATCTGCTCAGAGTTCTTCCTTAATGGAAAATCACCAGAAGTATGTGGACCTTCATTCCTCCCTGCTACATCTCTCCCCATTAAGTCATTTAAAACTTAACAATCCAGAGGCATAAAGAATATAGCCACAGCCTAAAGGAACAGAGATTCAGGAGACTAAAGAACAAACCTTCTCCAGTGCCCCATGAGTCCCTTTTCACCAAGAACTTCTAAAGAATTTTTCACCCTACCATTCTTTTTAATACCTACACTTCTTTCTGAAGTGAATTACTGCCTGCCTTGGAATAGCAATTTAATACCTCTACAGAATGAGGCTATTTAAAAAGTACAGTCATTCTACTCTGAAGCTATTAAACCAACACATATGTTTGCTTTCTTTGACCACATTTATTTGTGCACAGGTTAAATGGGTCTCTGTATTAGCTACATTATTCATATTATTAACTTGACGTTTTGAATTTATGTGTACTTTCCAAACAAGAAAGACAATATACAAGTAAATTAAACAGCTCTTTTTGACTCTATGGAATTTACCAGAAAAACAGAGAAAAATTCTTGGCTACTGTTGACGGTGACATTTATCTTTCTCATAGCAAAAAGCAACTCTAATTGGAGGATAATTACATTTTTTTTCCAATGAAATTTGGGGATTTTAGTGCTTCAGAGTCTAGAGTTGCTACAGCACATGAGAGGAAGAGGAGGAGCAAACAGAAACAACTCTGTTCAAAATTTTCTATTTAAAATTCAGAAYTGTGTTAGAGTTTCCATTCCTTCAGCACAAATACTATCAAATAGTGACTTTTCTTAACTGCAGTATTTTTTTCAGTAACTTTTTGCTTTATTTTACAATAGAAACCAACTTTAGACTTATTGGGGGAAAATACTAAAGTATGGAGGAGCTATATTCAGAGTAAGAGATAAAAGAAATACTTTTTTTTTTATGCAAAAGGGTCTCAGCTGCATATTCCCCACACTTTACAAGGAAGTTGACATTAAAAGAGAAGTGACATTACCCAAAGGTTATAGGGGAAAAAAAAAAAAAAACAACAGTAATTACCACCCTCTGCTAAGGCATTCTACACAGCCTAAGAACGTGAAATGCCATTTGCTTCACATATAGGACCACTCACTAAGAAACAAAGTTAACAGTAGTCTTTGGCTTGAAAATTCACTGTCACAGGTGGCCATGACTGAGCTGCACAGTTTTTCACAGCAGGACAGTAAGTTCAACCTCACTAATGCAACTGTTCCCACAAAGCTGTTCAGTTTGGGTTCTAACCTGCACATTATCCATATGCCTTTAAGAACTGTCAAATATTGCAATGAGAATGGCCTTCTGTTAGACTTCTTTAAAACATATTCTCTTTTTTGCAAAGTGACATACTGATAGTACCACATTAATTTGGAAATGTGTTCACCATCACAAGGTAATCTGGATATCCAGTAAAATAAATTCCTACAGTGTATTCACATTAACAATATATGGTATTGATTATGAAATTTTTGTCTTTTCAAGCTTAGTATTCTCTTTTTGAAAAATTTAAAGACCTGTCACAATTTTATACATACCAACATGGCAGAAGTTTTATATCTAAAGAGATCAAGAAATGACTTTCAATTTTTTTGTTATAAATGTGTTGACTTTTATTAAAGAAATTTGTTTTTATAGAAATTAACACTTTAATATCAGAGAAAGAATATGGCTATTTGTGGTTATATTATTAACCCTAAAACTTTGGAGATGAGAATTTACAGCTTTCTCAGTCATTTAAATTATAACATCTTTAAAATACAAATATACTTTTGGAAGTTTGAAAATTCTTACTCCCTTTAAAATCACTGTACACTGGGTTTCCATCACTTAAATGTTTACTATTTTAAGCATATGTTGACTGGTGTCTACTTAAGTGCATAAACTTTGGAAATTTCCTTTCTCTAGAAGACTACACAAGTAATTATTAAACTAGAACATAAGAGTAAATGACAAGAATTCAAAGAATCACTGTGATATATAACAATCTGTTTAGAGCTAAACACAAATATTGAAATTGTCTCTGCATTTGGAGCAAGTTATGATAATACTCAGAGGCAAAGTGGTATTCTTTAAAACCATGTGCATCGTACGAACCAAAGTGACAAGCAAACCTTAAGGAAAATAAAATTTAAATTGTGTTTTAGTCTGAGAAATTCACCTGGGCTTTGTGTGCAAGGAAAGACTAAATCCATCCACTTAATGGGGCTGAATGAAACAGCTCCAACACACATACACACACACACACAAAATAACAAACAAAGTTTTGAGAAGGAGAAGATGTATAAATTAGGAATGGGATTAAAATTTTTTACCATTTTCATTTTAAAGTGGTAATGAGCTTTCTTTATCTTTTTCCACTTCAGAATTATAAGCAATTCTATATTCCTTTCTTATTTTCTATCAAATGCACCATCAGACAATGTTTCTATTCATGTAGATTTGAAAGAAGCCTCATCCTCTGTGTGTTATTTTATTTTATAGTAGCCAAGGCAGAGTGGTTTCTGCCAATATGATGCTGAGGGCATGCAGAATAAAGACCCAGTCCTGGGCAATGAAACAGTCCACCCTTGTGTTATGCTTGTGGAAGAAGAAAGCAAGCCMCTCACCAACTTTGGACTTGGTCAACACTAGCAAGTCACAAAACTCTTCTCAATCACTGCATTTTAAATCTCCACTAAAAATAGCTCCTCTGTACTAAGCCTTAAAGTCTCATCTATGCCCAGTGATGGAGTACAGTGCTTAATTGTTACTGACTTGGGTCTCTGCATCAGCACTCTGAGAATGTTTTCTAACTTTTAATTGCCTTCTGTGCTCTTTAATTAGACCTATGCACAAGACAGCCCAAACAAAACACCTATCACTAAGCCTGCCCAAGAAGTCAAACAGACCATTTCACTAGTCCAAGAACTTTTGCACAAGTCTTCAAATCTTCTAGCACCTTCTGTTTGCCCTGGTTTTCTATATCTTAAAATCAGGCACACTGAAGCAGGATGGTGAGTTCTTTAACTATTACAACAGCTCCAGCAGTGAAGACACTGCCTTGTGACAATCCCCTTCTTGTTTCTCTCTTTCCTTTCTTAATTTTGTTCTATTATCGCATGTTTTCTGTTCACTGCTACTAGAGCTATAGAGGAAAAAAAATGCCTTCTTTCCCTCTGAAGAGAAGCTTTTGGTCTCTGCTGGAAGCAATCCTGAGACTTTCTCCAAGGGACTGGGTTAATTAGAAAGGGTATCTGTTCTCCCGGAAGGATGTCTGAGACCAAATCTTACAGCAATTCTCTAAGGCGGGAGATGCAAACTGTTAAAGTGCCTTTGACCCTCTCTGGTGACACGCAGTAGGACTTACAACGCACAGGCAGCGCCCCTTGGCATGGGTCACTCTCGTTCCTGGACTCACCTGGTGCTGAGTACCAGCGCTGGCAGGAGAGGCAGCAAGTAGTGCGCGGGGCTGAATTTCATGTTGTCGCCTGCCGGGGTCCTCCTTCCCTTGCTGCCTTGCCTCCTCCGGGTCCTGTCGCTCCTCAGTGCCCGGCTCCGTCCCCCAGAAAGCGATGAGCACTCTCCAGTGGTTGACTGATGGAGACGGACAAACGGACGGACGCCAGCTAAGGCAGGAGCTAGGAGCTGGGAGTATCTTCGAGAGTGATGTCACCGGTGAGGCTAGCCTTGCCTGGGATTGTTCAGCTCCGCGGCTCCGGAGCCCAGAGGGCGCGTTGTCACTCCAGCTGGAGGCGGCGCGGGAAGAGGGAGGGGTGTCCAGCGATCGCCCCGCGCGCGGCTGCGGTCACCCGGCTGCACTCTGGTCACTCGGGTGAGCACCAGTCGGGAGCTGATCATTTATTCCCTTTTCTCCTGAGGACTAGGGGGTGGGGGGTGGGTGCAAAGAAAAATCTAATCTGCCAATAATTGAACTGACGTGTTTGGTAAGGGGTGAGAGTGGATTCAATAAGATCAGACACTTGGAGTCCTAGGCAAGGTGTCTCTCCCCTGATTAAACCTACTTGGAAGAACGGAGCTCTGAAGAGTGTTTAAAATATTGTTCTAATTAGAAATGCATAATGACTTCCCTGATGCGGATGGAAAGAGAGCAGGAGTAAGCAGCCTCCAGAAATGCACCCTGAGCCTATAATGCCATCTCAAGCTTCTTAAGCAGAATGTGTCAACTACAAAGAGGTTTTGGGACCCTTGAAAAGTCGGCTGTTCCTGGTTTTGCAGATTTCTGATATTCCTCTGATTCCAATTTACCTGTTTTTACCAGCTGCCAGCAATGGGTATGGAGCTGGTGGTCCATGTTCAAGCACCTGAAGGAGTCCATTTCCTCAGGTGAGACCTGCCAGGGAGACACTGAAAAATTCATCAAAATTGTTAACAGTACTGAACTCCAATTGATGATGTTGGAGAGAGAGGATTTTATGTGTCATTTGTTTTCTTCATTTTCCAATTGTTTTATAAGAAGCAGCCAATATTTAATAAGCTTTATTTAGAAAATTAAACTAGAAAACAACAACACAAACCAAATACTAGATTCCTTTTGCAAAATCAATTCTAGAAAATGGAACTCATCATCTAGAGACACACTGTGTTCTAAGATTTTTACTAACTGGTGTGTGCTGTACTGTATATGTGAGTATGTGTGTATTACAATAGCATATTTTGGTGAAATAAATGTATAAAGCACTTCTCTTTACTTTAAAAAGAAACATCTTAAGAAAATAGAAATTCACATTATCATTGTCTTACATGTAAGGAAAGGGAGGACCTTAGATATCTGAGTTCGATTTTATTTTTTAATAAATATCTAGTTCTCCAAACTACTTAGGAAAACTGACTATTGCCCTAGATCATCTAATCCAGGGATTTACCCTATATTGGTATTTAGCAAAGACTATGTATGTATGTTTGTGTGTATATATGTATGTGTGTGTGTGTGTATATATATATATATATATATATATATGTATTAATTTTATATATACACATATAAAAATTATTATATATGTGTATATATAAAATTTTATATAATAAATTTTATATATACACATATATAATAAATTTTATATATACACATATATAATAAATTGTATATATACACATATATAATAAATTTTATATATACACATATATAATAAATTGTATATATACACATATATAATTTGGTTCAGGGATAAGACATTTACAGTAAAGTTTAGATGAAGCATCCACTTTAAGTCCATTTTCATATTATTTTAGGAACAATGTATGTGTTTTAATGATTTATTATAGATGATGAAAATGCAAAGAATTAATCATATAATTTACTACTGTGCTTCATTTCTGGTTTTAATGAGGTTGAAGTTTAAGATATTCATACAGATAGATTTTCTTTAAAAATCTCAGGCTACCAGAATAGACAAGTAATAACTGTTGCAGTGAATATCAATTCCTTGAGTGATAGTAAGATCCTCAAAAGATACAACTAGGCATATACAAATCAACTCACTGTGAATTGCTTACCATTTTCAGAGAAAAATGGCACCATACTTGGCTAACATAGAACTCTGACTCCAAGAAATGATAGGTACTCTGGTTTACTGCCWTCAGAGTTTTCTAAAGGTTGATTTCTTGCTCACTTTAATAGATAATGACTGAAGTTGCGTACTCAAATGAAACATGCAGCTAAGTGAAAATTTAAAAAAATGTTTATAATTGCAAATAACACTAATTTCTAGAACCCATTTCTGTTTATACAACTACTTTGGATTATTATTTTTATGTCCTAAGTATAGGAACCAAAAGTGATCTTCAATTCTATCATTTTCTTCTCTTGCAGTAAAATTGACAGAGTGGTTAAGTAACTTGTTCAAGGTCATTTAGTAATTATATAGTGCAGCTGGCATCCAAATTTTTACAGAAGAGTTCCAAACATATATTATTGAAGAAAAAAATATACATAACTTTGCAAGAAAAGACTTTCTTCAACCTAAATTTATTTATTTTTACTAGACATACAATGTAMAACAACAGTTAAGTAACCTAAGATTGTCAACTAAGAAAGGAAAGTAACAGAGTGAACTTTCTTTAGACTGTGTCTCAAAATCTTGTTGTGCCTCCTGTATTGGATGCCTATAAAGAAACAAAGGGTTTGTTGGCTTTTTTGAACTTTCTGCAAGCAAGGAAAAAAATAATCTAACTTTAAAGGGCATGAGAGAATTAGAGAAGCATATCTTCGAAGGAAAGCCTACATGAGATTTTGGAACTCCTGAAGATTTAGAGGATTGAAGTATTATTCTAAACTCAAATACTGAGGTATGTCTTAGCAGAAGATTTATCTTCTTGGGCAATTGTGGGATCATGAGTCACCATCACCCATGACATACTGTCCACATGATTGTAAGAAAACTCAAATTCAAAATTGATTTCATGGTTTCAGAGAATTGGTATGTGAATTTTAAAGATGCAGTAGTGCAGACAGCAGATTCACCCAGCTGTCATCTCTTGTCCTATGTTGAATTCCAATACTAGAATCAGCAAATGTTGTTTGAAGTAAGTATACAAAGTCTGACAAAGGTCAAGGGAGACCACACAGCTACACTGAATCTCTGTAAAGTGATGGGATGGGGAAACACAAAAGATAATTCTTTGAACAGCTTTACTGAAACCCTAATTCAGGTACTAGAATTTTCAACATTTTACAGTGTATGATTCAGCATTTAAAAACAACGTATTCACAAGGTTACATAACCACCACCATCTTTACATGTGATTAGTGGTCACTTATACATATTTTTGTAGATATTTTTATTCAGATTCTTTGCCTACTAAAATTGCTTCATTCAAATTTTACTTTTTACTTGTAGGAGTTCTTTATATATTTTGGATACAATTTTCTTTTAAATATATGATTTGCAAATGTTCCCAAGCAACAGTTTATATTTTCAGTTTTCTGATGGTATGCTTTGCAACACAAAATTTTTAATTTGGGTGGAGTCTAATGTACTTAATTTTTCATCACTTATGTAACTGGGATATTTTTATCATCCCCAACAGAAACCCTGTATCCATTGGGATCCACTTGTCACTCCTCTCCTTACACATTCTCCCAATATTTTGGAAAACAGTAGTCAAACTTCTGTCTGTAATAAATTCTTCCAGTATTTGACATTTCATCTATATTATTTAGTACTACATGTGACCTTAATTTTTTTTTACATTTATGTCTCAAGATTCATCCATATTATATCATATATCAATACGTCATTTCTTTGTATTGCCAAATAATACTTCATTGTATGCATATACCATGTTTTGTTTATTTATTCACTATTTAAAATACATTAGGATTTTACTTTCGGTTTAGCTATTATGAATAGTACTACTATGAATATCCTTATAAAAGTGACTGTGTAAATATTTTTTTCTCAGTTATCTTGGATATATGTTTAGGTTCATATAATTCTACTTAATATTTTGAGAAAATGCAAAAGTGTTTTCCAAAATAGCTGCACCATTGGGCTTTCCTATAATTAATACACAAAGGGTTCAATTTCTCTACATCATTGGCATTGATTATTATTTTCAGTTTTTAAACTTTTTGTCATTATAAATATCCTAGCTGGTGTGAAGTAGTTGCATGGTGGTTTTAATCTGTTCTACCTTATCATATTGAGCCTCTTTACATGTGATTAGTGGCCACTTATATATATTTTTGTAGATATTTTTATTCAGGTTCTTTGCTTATTAAAATTGTTTCATTCAAGCTTTATTTTTTTACTTGTAAGAGTTCTTTACATATTTTGGATACAATTTCCTTTTAAATATATAATTTGCAAATGTTCCCAAGCAACAGTTTATATTTTCAGTTTTCTGATGGTATGCTTTTGCAACACAAAACTTTTTAATTTTGGTGGAGTCTAATTTACCTATTTTTTTCATCATTTATGCTCTTGGTATTCTAAGAAGTCTTTACTTCATCCAACACAAAGTAAATTTATGCCACTTTTTTCTAAAAGTTTTATGAATTTTAGTTTCTAAATAAAAATCTATGATCCACTTAGAGCCAAGTTTAAAATATTTATGAGGTAGGCGGTCTAACTTTATTTTGTTGCATGTGGATTCAAGTTGTCCTAGCATCATTTGTTGAAAATTGTATTGTGTCTCAATTAAATTGCCCTGCTGTTTCTTCTCACAGTAATATCTTTTTTTCTCTTTTCTAGTTTTCATTTTCTATCCTTATATTCTAAATTCGATATTCCTTGAGTTTCATCCTTGATCATTCTCTTTCAAAATTCTTTACTGTTATTCCTAAATTCAGCTTACCATTTCTACAGTTTTGCTAACCASAGTGTGGTTATGAATCTCAAAATTTATACTCAGCTTATACATCATCTCTGAGACTTTAGTGATAGTTTCTGTGCACACCTCGAAATCAAATTCAGACACAACCAGACTTTTTCATCCTCCCTCTGTTCTATCCTCTCTCTTTATATTTCTTATCTTTCCATAAGTTAGTCTCCCAAGTTATTAGAACAGGATTTTTCCCTTCTCTTTACCCATCAGTTCTCCTACATGGAAGCAATTACCTTTTCCTACAGCCTTTATTCCCTAAGTATTCATASCATTATAGCATCACCCACCCCTACAACTCCTACACCTGTTTTTTTTTTTTTTTTTAAATCAGGGATTGATCCCAATGACACTTAA